TCTACGGGCGGGGTACCACCAGATCCGGATGAGGGAAGAGGATGTCCATAAGACAGCATTTCGCACTCATAACGGGCACTACGAGTACCTGGTGATGCCATTTGGGTTGTGTAATGAGCCCTCCACCTTTCAGGCGGCCATGAACGAGATCTTTCGGCCTCTCCTACGTCGGTACGTCCTGGTTTTCTTTGATGATATCCTGATTTACAGCCCTTCATGGGCAGATCACTTGGCGCACTTGCAGGCAGTGTTCGAGGCACTGAGGACGAATCAGTACTATATCAAGGCATCCAAGTGTGAGTTCGGGGTGCAGGAGGTGGAATATTTGGGTCATATGGTGACTCCACAGGGTGTGAAGGTAAACCAGTCCAAGATTCAGGCGATGGTGGACTGGCCTGTTCCCGGGACGGTGACTGAGTTGCGGGGTTTTCTGGGTCTGACAAGTTATTATCGGAAGTTTGTGCAGGGGTACAGCATGATCGCCCGTCCATTGACTGATCTACTGAAGAAAGGGGGTTTGCTTGGTCACCGGCGGCGGAGGCTGCTTTTCAGCGACTCAAACAGGCAATGACGACCACTCCGACTCTCGCCATGCCGGACTTTTCCAAGCCATTTGTTATTGAGGCAGATGCATCGGGCCGGGGGATCGGAGCGGTGTTATCTCAGGACCGCCACCCCATTGCCTTTATGAGTAAGACGCTGGCACCCTCCAAGGAGGCTTGGTCAACGTACAAGAAGGAAATGCAGGCGATCATTACCGCTGTCCAGACATGGCGACCGTATCTCTTGGGTCAGAAATTTCACATCTACACCGACCACCAGAGTTTGAAGCACCTTCTCGAGCAGCGGGTTTCCACACCGGATCAGCATAAGTGGGTGTCGAAGCTGCTAGGCTACGACTATGAGATTCATTATCGCCCCGGGTCCACTAATGTGGTGGCAGATGGGTTATCGAGGAGGCCGGGCAGCGAGGTTCTCGCGGCAGTGTCAGGGCGAGTTCCGCAGTTCTGGGATGAGTTACGAGCGTCCATGGAGACCAGCCAGTATTTACAGGATTGTCGGGAAATCGCAGTGAGCGACAACCCGGGGCATTATCTGTTTCGACAGGGATTGATGACTTTCAAGGGTCGAGTGGTTCTCCCTCCCGGCTCGAACCTGGTCACCTCAGTACTGCAGAAGTTCCATGACTCTCCATTGGGAGGGCATTCAGGCGCCGAGAGGACACTTCGCCGGATTAGAGGCCATTTTTATAGGCCCCGGATGGCACAGGCTGTGAAAGCCTATGTGGAGTCATGTGATACGTGCCAGAGAGTGAAGTTGTCTCACCTACGACCCGCTGGCCTTCTTCAGCCGATGCCAGTGGCGGAACGGGTATGGGAGGACATTAGCATGGATTTCATCGTGGGATTACCTCCTTTGGCGGGAAGACGGTGTTGTTCGTGGTAGTGGATCGGCTCACTAAGTATGCTCATTTTATGCCATTGGCGCATCCGTACACTGCGAAGTCTGTGGCCGAGCAGTTTGTATTGGGAATGGTGAGACATCATGGGTTTCCCAGGTCTATTGTCAGTGACCGCGACCCTGTTTTCTTGAGCAGGTTTTGGCAGGAGGTCTTTGCAATGGAACGGACGGTGATGCGCATGAGCTCGGCCTATCATCCTCAGACCGACGGACAGACGGAGATAGTTAACAAGCACCTAGAGCAGTATCTGAGGTGCTTTGCCCATCAGCAGCCGAAGCAGTGGCTGGCCATGCTTCCTTGGGCGGAATTGTGGTATAACACCACGTTTCACCGGTCCATCAAAATGACCCCGTTCGAGGCTTTATATGGGAGACTGCCCCCAGCATTAGTGCAGTACCATGGCGGGTCGAGTTCGGTTGACGCGGTGGACAGGTGGTTGGGCGCATGAGACGAGGCTTTGGCGCAGTTAAGAGCCAATTTGGCTGCAGCGTCCAACCAGATGAAGCAGGCCGAGGATGCGGGGCGGCGGGATGAGGAGTTTAAGGTGGGAGACTGGGTACTGCTGATGCTGCATCCCTACCGGCAGTCCTCGGTTTTTTGGCGAGCATATCAGAAGCTCGCGGCTAGGTTCTTTGGACCGTACGAGATCGTCCACAAGGTCAATCCGGTTGCTTATCGGTTGCAGCTGCCTGCGGGTTCGCGCATACACCCAGTGTTTCACATTTCCTTGCTGAAAAGGTACCGGGGCCTGGCGGACAGGGTGACTTCGACGGCTCCCCCGGTGACAGCAGATGGCGACTTGGAGTTGATTCCTCTCAAGGTGCTGGAGACCCGGTGGACCAAGAAGGGCGGACGATTGGTGGAAGAGAGTTTGGTGCAGTGGAAGCATGTAGAACTGGAAGATGCCACCTGGGAAGAGTCAGAGGTGCTTCGTCAGAGATTCCCGGACTTCGACCTCGAGGCCGATGTCGATTCTGAAGAAGGAGGGGATGTGGGAAACCCGACCGGGGGGGGGGGGGGGGGGGGGGGTGAGGGCCGAACTCGGCCAGGAAGGAAAAGGAGGGGGGGGGGGGAAATGTCACACTTGTAATATTTTCGGTTTACTACTTAAGACTACAACTCATTAGTTTTGGTAATTAAGCAATAATAATTCAGAAAACCCAATCCCTAGTCTCTCTCTTTTCTCTCTTGTTCTTCCCCAATTCTCCAAATCCCTAATTTCTTCTCTTCTCAATCCCGAAATCCCCAATTGGAATTTCTTGTGTCTTACAGAATCATTCATCAATCGATTATAATCACACAGTATATCAATCTAAAAGTCATTACAATCAATATCCCTAACACATGGAACTAGGGTTCTTCATACCCAAGTGAGAGAGAGTTCTACTCCATAGAGAGAGAGAGAGAGAGAGGACAACAGAATACAAAGCAGCCAATAGCCATACTCATAACAATGGGAAGAATTTGCTATGGGATGATAATCTTCACTACAAGGATGAATTCCAAACTTGATTGACGAAACCCAGCTCCAAAATCACCTCTAGAGTTTGTTCTTCGCACTTTCTCTCTCTAGGACTCTATTTTTGCTATGAAAGTTCGTCCTCCTCTTCAAAGACTCGAAATTGGGTTAAAACCCAGAATTTCACGACCACACAGCCAGGCCACACGGCCGTGTGGAATCCCCAACTGCCCGTGTGAAGTCTCAAAATGCGGCGTTTGATTAAGTGACTCAATGTACGCTACACGGCCATAACCGCACGGCCGTGTAGAAATATTGCCTGCTTGTGTGAACTTTCTGGAAATCTCACACGACCAAAAAGGCCCTTACACGGCCAGTGTGGCTTTGCCCACGCAAAGGATTTCCACACGCCAAAGTCACACGGTCGTGTGGAATTTAGGTTAGGCCGTGTGGTTTCCTCAGCTTTTCGTCAAACGTCCCAACTTCGTCCAATCGACCCCGAACTCGTGCTCAAATATTCCTTCACATACTAGGACCTAAAATATCACAAACAAGAACAACCTAGCGTGAAATCAGCCTAAAACACGAGAGACGAGGGCTCAAACAGTATAAGAAAGGTGGTCAAAATATGTGCAAATAATGGTCTATCAAACTCCCCCACACTTAACCGTTTGCTTGTCCCCAAGCAAACCTGACTTAAACCAATGCAGCTCTCCAGACCTCTAAACCAAGATGCACCCCCGATCGTCAGTAGAGGATTTCCTAGATCATTTAACAGCTTACGAGGTCAACCGACGCACAAGACACCTCCTAGCTTCTTCGGCAAGAACTCTAGTCTCGAGTCGGCATCATGACAAATAGTGATCAGAGGACAAATAAATTGTGGACGAATGGACTCTCAAAAACAGAAAGATCATGGACTCACTTTTTTTTAAGGTGCTCTATTTTCTTCTTGAAGATGGTTGGAACCCTTCTTTTTTTTTCTTTGTTTTGTTGTTTATTTTTTTTTCAAGGATCCCAACCTATTATTTCTAGAAAACGGGGCTCCCACCTATTAAAGGTTTTGAGGGAGCCCGACTCTTACTGGCCATGCGAGGAGTAGCTCTTACCGGCCATGCCGGGAGCAGATGTCTCGAGCCTCGTGTGGGGGAAAGAAATGTAAGGGGACTGGAGGTAGTAGGTGGAAATTGGGAACGAATTCCTGTCTCCCCTTACACACTTTCACCCTTTTCGCACGTGAGATGTTATTTTAAAAGCACAATTTAGAGCACCTTTTTTTTCTTCAAAACATGATACAGGAGTCCTTACCACATTTCAATAGCTTTGAACGAAGGTAGCCTTAAATCCATATGATCTTGGCGCTTGATAACTCTCAATACTGAAGACTACTCGACGAATTTCCTTGGTAACCTGAGAAGTCAGGAATGTTTTCATAGAGTTGATTACCTTTGCCTGGATGGCCAAGTTAGCCACATATTGTCGTGGATAAACTTTGTTGGATGGTGATTTTATCATATTTTGGGAGTAATATATTAAAAGAAATAGGTCGACCCTCTAACCCACCCAACCGACCCAAAAAATCACGGGTTATTGGGTTCGGGTCATTCGGATTTCGGGTTAAAAAATTTATAGTTTTTAGGCGGTTTCGGGTCAGGTTGTAATTTGTCAGGTCTAGGGTCAGGTCGAAATTACTATCACCCAGGCAGGGGTGGAGCTACGTGGGCCCCCCCCGAGAATTTTGAAGATCGTGTTAAAATACGACGAGAATTTGAAGTTACGTATTAATTCAGATACATGTATATATAATTTTATTGTGCAGTTTGATTGTTGAACTGGTTACTTTAGTCCAGCGGAGATGTGGTTTTTTGTTATATAGGAAGTTGTGGGTTCAATACCCATCAACAACTCCTTTTTTACTACTACTTGTCTTTTAAGTTGATTTTTCATACTTTCATACATAATTTAACTACTACTTGTCTTTTAAGTTGATTTTTCATACTTTCATACCTAATTTAACTTCAAACTAGGTAAATTTAATTCAACTTATACATTTATATCTTCAAAGATAATTTTAAATATATAGCAAATAATTCAATTATTTTCCCATTTTTTATAGACATTCATTTGTTACTTATCATAAATTGAAGAACATGGTGCATTATTTTTTGTTGAAATTTATTTAATAATTTTGAACATGTCATTGATACATTTTTTAATTTAAATCATACTTTTAGTGCTTATAATTATCTTAAATAACATTTTATGGGGTGACATCAATATATTTTTTTTACGATAATAAAATTTTCGGCCTCCGAACTTAAAATCCTGGCTCCGCCCCTGCACCGAGGATGGATTACTTTTAAGTCGGTCCACGGGAAAAGAGTATTTCCATTAGACCATTACCATTTACCAAGCCACCTATCAAGTTCAAGTCGCTCGATAACATGAGAACAGGCTTGTCACTGTCAGCCGTTTGACCGAGTAAATGAACATGGTAACCCAAGTTCTGCAAACCAGCACCTGACCAAGTAAATGACCTAAGTTTTAATCTTCAATCCAGTCCATTTAGCCAGACAAAGCCCAGCTCACCATGAGCTTCAGCCCAAATGCCCAAACCAAATCCTAGCCCGTAACCATTTTTTTCTCCCCTTTCAGACTTCAGTCGTCTCGTTAAGTCGGCGAATTCCAAGAGCTAATTTTCCCCGGCGACTGGTTCTAAAACCCTAAACCCTCTCCAGACAAATCGACCCCCCAATCCCTAACCTTCAAATCCTCATCCCTCTTCGTCCTCATCAATGGCTTCCTTCGGTACCAAATTGGTTTCCAGGTCATCCATATCCTCCATTAAAGCTGCCCTCAGATCCGGCGCTTCAAAATCCAGATCAACCAGCTCTCCTTCATTCTTCTCCAGCGCTTCTTCTGCCACTCCTACCCGCCGCTTCTCCATCTCCAGGTATGGAACTCGGTATTCGGGTTCTGAGAGGGTCGGAATTGTGCGAAAGTGCAGATGGTTAATTGATACTCATGTGTTTTTTTCTGGCGGGCTTGTTCTGCAGGATTCCCTCTGAGCTGGGATGCGCGGCGTCTTTGCTGCCGCTGCACAGCGCGGTGGCGACGGCGAGGATGACGTCATGCTTGAGCACGGCACCGAGGAGTTCCCGTGCGCTCTCTCAGGGTACACTCTGCTGCACCTATCCCGGCCTCTAGTAGCCACATTGCTAAGAAAAAGCTTTTATTACTACTACTGCTACTCTCTTTGACTGTGAGTGGCTTTTTTTGTTGCTTCTCTACAAACCCCTAAATTGTCTATATGTAGTTTCTCTGGATTGTTATTCTAATTGGAATGAAGGCAATGATAAATGGCTCTTGTTGATTACATGGATGCTTCACTTTGTACTAATGTGGCAACTCAATCCTTGCTGTGGTCAACATAGTTGGAAAAATTGGACTCGAAATTGAAGTTCTATTGATAGATTATGATACTGAACTGTTGTATTGAGGATTAGAGCTCATGGGGGAACTAGAATTTGAGTTAGGGTGCCTTATTGAGGATCAAGCTAAGATGGGGTTCTTAAGTAGCCAGAGGGCGTTTGCAGTCTGACTAAGGGTATTTGGTTCCTGCAGGCACATAATACCAAAAGAAATAAACTGGGGATCTGTCAATTATGGCCCACTGCATCATTATCAAGTATGACATAAATTAGTATTTTGTTAGTAATTTCCCAACTTGTGTGTTTTCGATCATATTGCCTCCAACGGTCGGAGTTTCCATGGAAAAGTTTTGCACTGCTTCACTTGGTTGCCTATGTACCCATACTCACTGATGAGATGAAAGGCTAGTTTTTTACCTCATCAGTCTAATTTCTTGTGTGGTCATGACCTAGTGTATGAATCTCTATATATACTAGATGTCTTGGTAATACACTGCCCTGTATTTAATTCTGATTGGGCACAGTACCAAACCTCTGAGTAGACTCCTGTATCAAAGTTCTACTTAATTTTCCGGTTAGAAGATGTCAAATAAGAGGTTGTGTTTTATTGATGTATTCAAGGCCAGCTTTTGAATGCCGATATCGAACAAGGTAGGCTGGGGCTGTGCTATATCTGCAAAGCTTGTCCTACATTTGCCGAGTCTTGGTCATGCTAGTTCAACATTTAGTTAGAATCGAAATACATCCAATGTAGAGTCTGTTAGTGTTGTTGTATATGATCCACGATTGAACCTCTTCCAACAACTCGAGTTATTGGGAGCAACTGGTTCTTGACATGGTATCAGAGCCTTCTGTGACCGAGAGGTCTTGTGTTCGATTCCCGGTGACCCCCATTTGTTAAGCACATGGTATTCTTGTCTTCAGACCTGTGCAAACTTCAAGCCCTTGTGATTGGCTTTCGTTTGAGGGGGCTTGTTAGTGTTGTGGTATATGATCCACGATTGAACCTCTCTCAACAACTCGAGTTATTGGGAACAACTGGTTCTTGACAGAGTCAACTTCCACTGGAACTTCTTGTTGCATGCAATCTCCTATCCATGTTTTGCCGTGTTCACCTGAAATTTGAAAATCTATTCCCTTCCTATTGTTGAGCGACAATTTTCATTTGAAGTTTGAGTCTAGTGTCTGCCAAATTCTGTTATGCATAAGGCTAAGTAGAATTAACATCTTAGAAGCTGAGGACGCGTCTGCAATAGCATAACTAACAAATTAGGGTAGCAGCTAAACTGCAAGATTCTGACATGATTTTGCTCATAGATAGTAAGTATTTCTCATGAAGCGAGTGTAATATGGTAACATCAGTGCTCCTTTTACCAGATGATGTTGATGGGACGTGAGAGAAGTATGCTGTTTTGGAGGTGGGCTCTTTGACCAACTATGCAGTTTGTGATTGAAAAACAAAGTGGAAAACAGTACTGTTTAGACAAGTATCAGGTAGTTGTCCGTTGATTTTGCTAAGGCGGAAAATACTGGACCATATCTTGCCTTCAGTACTTGGTTTTGGTCTATGATTGCTAGGAATATGGTCTTGAATATAATACACGACTACTTATTGTCGCCCATTGTTCAGTACCTAATTCAAGTATTTGTTTTTCTCTGCAATAGAGCTCGGGCTGTCAGTTCCAAGGTGATTTACGACAAGAAACTCATGATAATATAGGTCATTTTGCCTTGTTCTCAGAAGCAAGGCTCGTTCTGTAGAGCTTTTCATGTCTGTGAAGAGTGGACAGCTTATATGTAAAATGCTTGCCAGCTTCAAACTTTTAGAAGCAGTTCAGAATTTGTATTTGATTCTTTGGTGATGCAAACTTGAGCTGTATGAATTGAATACCCTGGCCGGTTAAATTCTTGCAATTTTTGACTATAGGTGAAGGACAAGTCAATTTTTCTCATTTGATGTTTTGAGCGACAAACAACTCCACTTGCTAATTATTAAATTATCCATCCGTAGTTTTTGTGCACCCCAATTACAAAGAGAATGAGTCATAAAAAGTTTCTTGCCTCAACTTTCACAATGCATATTATGTATTTAAATCGACGTATCATTCCTCCTCCAAGGACATTCTCTCCAAGGACATTCTCTTAAAGTGTACCAATTTTGTGGTGATCATAGCTCCTATATCGTAACTCATAATCTGTGACACTCAATTCAGTCATATATCATTAGAATAATAATCTAAAAGTTACGAAAAATAAGTCGGTGAAAGAGAGATCCCGATTATCTAAAGCAAAATTTCTAAATATAGGAATGCCAAGCATTCTGTTTCTTGCGAATGATGAGGAGCAAGCAACAAAACCATAGGAATGTTAGGTTAGTAGACAAAAAGAAACCACAAAGAACTAAGAAAAAAATTAAAGAGCAGGAGAATTGAAGAAATCAAGTCATGAGCAATGAAACTTTTGTGAAATAAAAGAGACTGAACAAAATAAAAGAGACAGAACGAAAACAGAAACTAATTTATTAAAAAATAATTTCATATAACACCACAGATAAAAACAAAAACAAAATTCCATAGCCAAAAAAAAAAAAAATGAAGAAAGCCTGAGCATTACCTCTCCCTCTCTTTTCCCCCTCTCCATCCTTTCTGTTTTTCTGTAACCATAATCATTACTGGCATGCTAGGAAAAAATCCCATAATACACTAATTATTAAAAAAAATTCCCAAAATACAGTACTTATAAAATTATTTCCCAAAATACAGCAGTTTGGTTATCACCGCTGCAAACCAAGACAGTGAAAGCAATCACCGTTTTTGACCAAAACGGTGATAGCATCATCGCTTTGGACCAAAACAGTGATGCTATCACTGTCTTGGACAAAAGCGATGAACCCTTCACCGTTTTGGACCAAAACGGTGATTGCATCACTGTCTTGGTTAAAAGCGGTGAAACTCGACCTTATCACCGCTGATGTGTAAAGCGATGATATCATCGCTGATGTGTAAAGCGATGATAATTGACACGTTTTACCGGCCTGGTAGGTGGAAATTAGGTCACAGCTACCAAGCAATCACCGCTGAGGACTATGGCGGTGAACACATCACTGTTTTTGTCCAAGGCGGTGATTGCAAAAAAAATTTTCTATAAATACTGACCTCCACTTCCCCTATTGCTACTTTACAGAAAATTAGTACAAAAATTAGTGTTTATTAGTCGTTTTCTCAGTTGGTTTGGAGTTGGTTTACTGCTCAAGAAACTCGTCGGGATTCGGTATGTTATAATTATGTAATGTTTACATGTTGATGTGTTAGTAATTTATATGTCTGTATTTAGTGAATTGCGGTTATTGGAAAATATGTTATGATATATTTAGATTAATTATGATATGATAGATGTTAGTTAATTAGTTATGAATTTAGATGAATTTGATTAGTTTTCTCATGATAGATCGGGAGTCGGTATGTTATAATTATGTATTGTTTACATGTTGATGTGTTAGTAATTATATGTCTGTATTTAGTGAATTGCGGTTATTGGAAAATATATTATGATATATTTAGATTAATTATGATATGATAGTAGTGAATTAGTTATGAATTTAGATGAATTTGTTTAGTTTTCTCATGATAGATCAATTACATGCGTTTGTTTATGGGTTTGGATGATATTGTTTTTGTATCCCTAATGTACTAATTATATACTATACTTAATTATTATAAATTGCAGACATGGTTAAATTTAAGAAGTTTCGGCTTATTATTCGGTGGAATGGTCGGGTGACATACTCGAACATTGGCATCGACTATGAAAATGGCGAATCCACTATGCTAAAAATTGAGTCGAGATTCTCGTGGCAAGAACTTCATGACATTTGTGCAGAAAGGACTTGTACGGGCGGGCGAAGGAGAGTTGGTCAAATTGCCTACCGCTATCCAAACATGAGTGCTGGCGGAGTTGTGTACGAAAAAGTTGTCATAAACGATGATGACTCGGTGAACATGATGATACAGTTCCTATCTGACAACGGGTTGCGGCTTGCAGAGGTGTATGTCGAGACCGAGCCAGTCGGTGAAACTCATTCTCACCAGTATTCTTGTGATGATGGTTTTGCAGGAGGGTATGGCTGGGGTGGTAGTTCAAGTAACTACGAAGGAGGTAACTACGAAGGAGGTACTTCTGCAGGAGGGTATGGCTGTGGTGGTACTTCAAGCAACTACGGAGGAGGTAGTTATGAAGGAGGTGGTGGTTGGGAAGAATACGTGCAACCAACTGAGACGGCCGTCAATATCGTTCAGCCCGACGGTGATCAATGGCCTGCTTGGGGTCCAGAGTGGGCTGACATTGGGAACAACCTTCGATCTGGGCGTTCTTCGCATGACCAACAAGACGATGTTGGTTATGCTGGCAACGATGACCATCCTGAGTCGAGCTATCCATTCGCCTCTAGTGACGATGAAAGTGAGGAAGATTTGAGATCATTCAGTGAGGAGGAAGATACGGACGATATCGACGATATCGATGACAGAGAGGTGGCGTTCCGTCAGGCACCAACACCTTAATACACAGAGGTTCCTGATCAATTTTTATATGGTCAGAACGATGCCCCTGACTATCGGCCCATGCCTGTGTATAATCCGACTGCTCCTTTGGAAGTGGGTATGGCGTTCACTTCGAAAGCTGATGTGCAAGATGCTTTTAGCGAAGAAGCCATGCGCCGTAACTTCGAATGGAAGGTAAAATATTCTGACACCAAACAATTGCATGTCATTTGTAAGAATGCTGGAGAGGGTTGTGAGTGGCAACTTCGGGCTGCATATATGAAGAGAAAGGGCGTCTGGGTCATGCGAATAGTAGAGAACAACCACAGATGCTCCTTAACCATACTTTCACAGGATCACCGGCAACTGAAAGCAAAAAAAGGTGGCGAGAACCATTAAGCACCTAATCGAGGCACAACCGGATATCAAGATAAAAGCTATTATGGCCGAGGTGAAGGATCGACATTCCTACACCATAAGGTATAAGAAGGCGTGGCATGGGAAGCAGAAGGCCATGGCTGAGGTCTACGGTGATTGGGATGACTCGTATGCTTTACTCCCTCGACTAATGTCCGCAATGGAGGAGTCCAACCCTGGGACGGTATTCGTGCCGTGGTACAACAACGTGCAAACTGAAGATCAAGTTCGTGTACAGAACGAGTTGATGTTTCATCGTCTGTTCTGGACATTCAAACCATGCATTGACGGGTTTCCCTTCTGCATGCCAGTGATTCAGGTATATTACGGACTCAAAATATTGTACTAGTTCATTACCTTACTAAGTTAAATTTTTAGTAACTAATTATTCATTTTTAACAGGTTGATGGAACTTTCCTTACTGGGAAGTATAAATGAACTCTTCTCATTGCAACTCGGGTTGATGGAAATTTAAGTATTTCCCCTTAGCATTTGCATTAGTTGAAGGGGAGAACAACTTAAGTTGGGCATGGTTCTTTGACCAGCTACACGCCCACGTCACACAAAGAATGGGTATTACAATTATATCGGATCGACATGCCGGGATTAAACACGCCGTCAATGGTTTTCCCGACGAATGGGGATGGACATGGCGCTGGTGTATTCGTCACTTCCTTGCCAATTTCCAACACAAATTTGGCAAGAAGAAAGACATAAGAGATCAATTGTGGAGTGCAGGTAGTAATGTAGTTCAGTCGATTCTTCTTGCCCATATTGTTGAAATGAAATTTCTTATGGCTTAATTATTTATTCTCTGGTCTTGTAGCGGTTGCACATCAACCAAAGAAGTACGAGCAGAAGATGAAGACGATCCGTCAGATACACCGGGCGGGAGCAATATGGGCAGAAGGTCAAGATCTGCACATGTGGACATTTCATATGGACAACGGGGCTAGATTCGGCATTGCAACTACCAACCATGGCGAGAGCATAAATGGAGTCTACAAGGGCATTAGGGCAATGCCTGTATCTGTCCTAGTGGAGATGACATACTGGAAGGTAAACGAGTGGTTTGTGAAGAGACGGGAGCTCGCTATAGGGAGGGAGCGTGCTGGTCATTAAATAGCACATCATATATTTGATGGCATGCAGAAGATCGAGGAGAAATCAAGTAAGCATAGGGTTGTTCTGTTCAACCGCAATGAAGGTGTTTTTGCTGTGCAAACAGGTATATGGGGTGGAGGAAGACGTGGGCATAATCGTCAATCCGTTACTCTACACGTAGAAACTCGCACCGGAGAGTGTACATGCCAAAAGTATCAAAACAGAAGAGTACCTTGTTCACATGCAATGGCAGTAGCTAAGTCGATAACCCTCAACGCTTACAGTTTGGTTAGTCCTTACTACACGGAACAGGCGATCAGGAACTCCTACTCGTCAAGTTTCAGCCCCCTGCCGGATGAAGCTTATTGGCCGGTAGACACTGGGAAGTTGATTATACCACTATTGCACTTAAAGCGCACCAAAGGTCGTCCTAGGACCCAAAGGATTCACAATGAAATGGATCAATCACAACGTGCCTGACGAGGTCCAAAGCGTTGCTCAAAGTGCAGACAACCGGGTCATGACAAGAGGCGTTGTTCAGGTCCACCTCTAGAGCAAGATTCGGGGCCAAGTACAAACCAACCTTGAGTACTCTTTTGTTCACTTCCTTTTCATTTTCGTTGTTGTGATGTTTAAGTTGGACTTCTTGTTTTAATCTCGTTGAGTGATTGTAATGAATGGTGTTTGTTGTTTACTTTGGTACAACATGGGGGAAAATCAACACAATCTCAAAATAAATTAAGACGAGATAGATAGTTCATGGAAAATCAACACAATCCCAAACCAAATTAAGACGACATAGATAGTTCATGGAAAACAACACAATCCCAAACCAAATTAAGACGACATAGATAGTTAATGGAAAACAACACAATCCCAAACCAAATTAAGACGACATAGATAGTTCATGGAAAAACAACACAAGACCAAACGTAATTAAGACGACATAGATAGTTCACTGGTTCTCTTCATTTCCCTCTTCCTCCACTTCCCCTTCTCTTCCTCTTCCTCTTCCTCCACGACCTCCTCGACCCCTTCTTCCGCCTTCTCTACCTCCTCCTTCTTCACGAGCCCGCTGGACAACTCCTCGCGGATTCCTCTTAACCCGACCACCCACCGGAGTGTAGACAGGTGGTGGGGGTTGAACATGCTGAGATGAACCAGAAGCGTGGTGGAAAGTCGATGATGTGTGTTGTTGAAGCGGGGTCTGATACTGAGCAGTTTGTTGCTGATGGTGGAAGTGAGGGGTGGCTTGGGCGGCGAACATGTCATGTTCCTGAGTGGCGACATAGCTTGACGACCCTCCGGTGCCCTCAGTACTAGTTGCCCACTCACAATGTGGCCATGGTTCAGGAAGTTGAGTTTGTTGAGACGGACGGAGCTCTTCAATGTTTTCTCTCACCCTTCTTCTGCTCCTCCGTGGGGGCTCTTGTGGGGGCACGATCCTCTCATCAGCACGGAATGACGGTCGGGGCGGTGCAGGCATTGGAGGGTATAATACGACATCCCTCCTTTGCTCTCGAGTACAACTGAGCAGGTTGTTGAAAAGCCTACGCAAAAAAGAGGTCTTACGCTCATCCATGGTGGGTGCACTCTCGACAGTGTGCTTGGCATGTTCCAAACCCTCAACCTAATAAATTGTTGTACAAAATTAACTAACATTAAGACAAAGAGGCATCCTTAAATCTAACAAAGGCATGTAATCATACTTCAAAAAATTTAGACATGTAATCATACTCCAAAAAATTTAGACATGTAATCATACAAAAATTTAGACATTGTTGTACAAAATTAACTAATTAATTAACATTCTAGCTAATATAGGCATGTAATCATACTTCCAAAAATTAACTAATTAATTAACATTCTAGCTAATATAGGCATGTAATCATACTTCCAAAAATTTAGACAAAGAGGCCAAAATGGAATTCACTTACCACTGCGCCCCAAACAGCACCTTGCTTTGACACCCATCTGAGCGTGAAATTTCGATACCACCGCATGTAGCCATCGTGGTACCCCATTGGCCTTGTCTCCGGCATCCCTTGTTCCACCCACTGATTTTGATTCTCCCATATGTTGATGTAGAATTCATGCTTCTTTTGCCAATCCTTTTTGGTGTGGCGTAGGTCAATGGCGTGGAGCTCCCTGAACCCTTGAGGTGGGGATGCTGGAATTGGTTGCTCCAATCGATACTGCCTCAAAGATCGATCGGGCAGGTGCCATTCC